GGAGCATTCTGGCTGCACTTTCTCCAGGATACATCTGTCCTTTTGGCAGTCCATAGGATATCTGGTACTTTTGTCCAACACAACAGCTCAAAGGCATATGACTTAACCATGGGCTCGAGTATGTCAGAGATGGTCAGTCTGGCACAGGGTACGGCAGGGTTCAGATCCATTGTTCACAGGGTTGATAGAGTCCTACTCATTCCTTCAGGATTGGAGGAAGACCCATTAACAACCTGCATTATACAGATGACACACCCTTACTTGCTGAAAACTGAGGAGGGCCTGAAGCATTTGCTGCAGAAGGTTAAGGACTATACTCTTCAATATGGCTTCAAGCTTAATGTCAAGAAAACGAAGTTCTCCAAAACAACTATGAGATATTATCTGACCCCAGTAAGAATAACAAATTTTAACAGAGCAGCAAACAACAAACATTGGTGAGGTTGTGGAAAAACTGGAACCCTTTTTCACTGTTGAGTGAAATTCTCAGTCACAAGAAGACAAATACTGCATAATGCCACTGTTATAGAACAGAACTGATATGGGGTGGTGGGAGACTCTAAGAAAAGAGGGGATATGTAACACACATGGCATTGAAACAGATAAGGGAGAGAACTGTATAAAAGGATATCATTAGGTATTGTTGGCATGACAAGAGTCCAGAATAAGAGCTGCGTAGTAAAGTGGTGGTGGTGGGGAGCGGGTTCTGTATAAACAATGGAAGAACTTTTTTCCCAAAGAAACTCGGGGGGTAAGTGGTAGGGAGGAAAATGTGTAACAGTGAATGAATGGAAATCCAAGTTCTTTATAAATTTTCATTGAAATAAAAAAAGAAAAGAAAACGAAGTTCTCACCACTGGGCCAACTGGCAGTATCATGATAGATGGAGAAGAGATTGAGATTGTTAAGAATTTCAGCTTACTATATTCCACAACCAACACTCTTAGCACCAGTAGTCAGGAAATCAAAAGACAAATTGCATTGGAAAAGTCTGCTGTCAGAGACCTCTCCAGAGTACTGAAGAGCAACAAAGTCAGTCTAGAGACTACGTGATGTCTGGTCCAGGCTATGATCTTTGCAATTAATTGCTATGCATTAGAGAGCTGGACAATGATCAAAGATGACAAAAGAAGAATTGATGTCTTTTGAGTCTTGGTGCTGGAGAAGAGTATTGAAAATACCATGGACTGGCAAGAGAACTAACAGATATGTCTTGGATAAGGTGAAACCAGGCTGTTCCTTGGAGACAAGGATTTTGGGGCTCTGTCTGGCATATTTTAGGCATGTAGCAGGAGAGACCATTCTTATAGGATATCATGCTTGGAAAGGTGGAGGGATAGCACAGGAGAGGAAGACTCCAGATTAGATGGATTGATGGTGAGACTGGCTCAGGATAAAGCAGGGTTCAGAGTGTCACTATGTGTCGTAGTGACTGGACAGCACATAACAACAGCACTTAACAATGTGCAGGAAAGGGCTTGTACACCACCCTAATCCTATCTCCTTACAACTATAAATACTTCATCACAAAATGGAAGTTTATGAATAGAAGGTCAATTAGTATGTTAAGTAGTAAATCATACTTATGAATCTTGAAGTTTTATACTTTTATTTGTAGATTAACTACAATTAGTCATGGTGATTATGTTTTAAAAAAATATATATGACTGATGGCTCTCTCCTATTCACATCACCTGTGCAGTGTGGCCCTGTTCTGTCTTCACTATGTCTTCTCATAAGACTTTCAGGATCAAGAAGGTACTGGCCAAGAAACAAAGCAGAACCATTTCATTCAACAATGGATTAGAATAAAAACTGGCAATAAAATCAGGTACAACATCAAGACATTGGAGAACCAAGCTGGTTCTCTAAGGAGTTGCATACATTCATTAGCAAAGTACCAAGTCAAGTAGACAGACATGCTGCCATATCAAGTTTTAAATTATGTCACAATCTATTCACTTCCCATTGAAATTGAGTGTTTTTACATTTCAGATACCCTAATATGTGAGGTCTATGATGTGAAACAACTCTCACAAAATACACCTACAGGATTTAATGTCCTGTTGTCTATTTTCTATAAGATTTTTTCATGTAAATTTATAAACATATCTATGATTCATATGTTATGCTAGTTGCATAAATCTTTCCATCTCTTCTAAATTATGGAAGTATGGTTTGCATAGGAATTACATGCTCCAAAACATTTGGTTTTAAACATTTAGACTGCCAAGAGAATAAACATATATTGTGAAGAATGTGCAACCTGAGTGCTCTTTGGGGGCATGAATGATGAGGCTTCACCTCACATACTTTGGACATGTTGCTAGAAGGTGCTATTCCTTGTAGAAGGACATGATGCTGGGAAGGGTGGAGGGTCGGTGAAGGAGGAATACCCTCTACTAGGTGGATTGACAGTGAATGCTACATGGGTTCTTGTGTGTAAGAAAGTGTGAGGATGGCACAGGATAGGGTTCAGATCTTTTGTTCATAGGGTCACTATGACTTGTATTTGACAGCACCTAACAACAACAAACATTTGGTACAATTTATCCCTTAGCGATGGCTTTTCAAATTAATAATTATGTAGCCTAAGACTTTCATGTTTTCACTTATTTTCCAGAGTTTGAGGTCTTTGATGCTGAAACAAATGTATTTAAAACTTCTACTATGATTATAAATTTGCCATGACCTTCAGAGTTTTGACAGTGTTGGAATGAGTGAGACTGGCTCAGGACAGGGAAGGGTTCAGAGCAGCTGTACTCAATGGCACATAACTCCAAAGCAATCAACAACAAAGTATCATACCAGTTTAGGAGTTTATTTTCTATTTATGGACTTTATCCTTTATTAATATAAAATCTTGTAGTCTTTTGATGCCTTTAGTTTCTTCAGTTTGGTAACATTGTTATAATTATTGTTTTCCTTTGATTATCATTTGATTAGCAAAGCTTCTTATGTCCTATTTTCAAGCTGTGTTGCAGGAATGTTGCATTGATGGGTTTGGTTTTTAATGTTAAATTTATGAGTAAAATTAACTCATTTATATTTATTGTAAATGCTGTTTTGATTTACTATTTTATTCTTAATTCCCTCTCCCTACCCGTTTCCCTTAATTCTAGTTTCCTTTCTATCTTTTGTTGTACTCGACTAGCTAGGTTTTCTTTGTTTCATTTTCAACCTCTCTAATTCTTTGGTCTAATTTCATTCTTCTATTGTTTCTTCTCAACTTTAAAATTTTATTATTCTTCAGAACAGATACATAAAACAAACGCTTGACATTAACTTGCATCTATCATCTTTGGAATAATTTTCTGAATTTTTCAGATTCTGTTTCCATTCTTGTATAATAGGGACCATGAATACTTCACCAGCTACACTGAGGATTAACCGTAATATGTCAACCACTAGATCAATATTGTATAAGGTCTTCAATTCCTCATTCCAATTCTTCATTTTTAAGCCAAGAAACTTTCGGTCCAACGACAACAATTATCTCTTCTTTTGTCCTTCAAAGTCACCTTTTACCATTCATGTCCCTTGCATCATTATTGCCCTCATTTAGTTTCTCAATTTCTTTGATATCTCAAGATGTCGTATAATTCTTTCTTCACACTGAAGGGGAAAAATAACCTCAACAATAATTCCATACTGTACGTTCTCTGGAACTCCACGCCTTTCTTCATTTTTCTTTCAAAATGGCGGACTTCAGACTTTGCTGAACCGCACCACGTGCATGTGCGCCTGCGCCTCCCGCGGCCATTTCGCCCAGCAGGCCCAGCTCTGCGTCTGCGCAAACGCCCGGCGCCCGTTTTCTCCTCCCTCTAGCTGAGTACGCCTGAAACCGCACGTTCCCTTTCCTTCCCTCCCCCACTCCCTTCACCGCCCTTACCCCTTTCCTGTGAGATTCTTCCGCCAAGTGAGGGCCTATCTTCGTTTGACACCTACGCACTTACGGAGCAATCCAATAGGCACATGCATCCGTAGGTTCCGCCCCTGAGTTTTTTCTGTGTGCCAAGGTATTTTCCTTCCGTACCCTGGAGTTGATAACCGATTTCTTGGGACTTTTTGCACACCGTGTGGCACCGAATGTAAAGAATGGAGCTGCGGCGGAGGGATCTCTCGCTTTCACTCTGTGTACTGTAATTTAATGGAGGAGGGGGTCGCCCTAGAGTCGGAAGAGGGAGGGGGAAAGGGCGGGGACAGGCAGAGAATTGTTTTTTTTCTCTAGCCCCGCCTTCCCTAGGCCTGCCAGTAGAGATGGCCTGTTTCCCTACGAGCCCCGCCCCATTCCTTTAACTCTGCCAATGAGCTGCGGAAGCGGCTCCGAGAGGGTGGGCTCGGGAGGCCGTGCGTGTCTTGTGAGAGCTCTTGAACCAAGTCAGGGCCGGAGTCGCTCGGCGGCTGAAGCTGTGGCCGCCTGGTGACTCAGGCTGTCGGGAGGCGGGGTGGGCGCGCCGCGGCCTCCTCTGGGTGGAGAGGAGGAAGAAAGGTGAAAGGACCGGCAGGGAGGCAGGGGCGCAAGGCAGCCGAAGCGATGGCTGCGGGGTCTGCGGCCCGGCTGCCTTAGCGAGGGGTGGGCCGGATCGAAGGGACGTCAGGCAAGTGCGGGGCCCGCCGGCCGATCCGCCCCTTCCCTGAGGGGCCGCCCCTGGCGGGGGCCTGGCGGCCGGGATGAGCCTTCAGCGCTGAGAACCCTTTCTTTCCTGGGGTGAGGGGCAGACACTCAGATTCACTCACGCCGCGGATACTCCCTTTCCTGCTCCTGCCTTTAGGTTTAAGGTTTCAGAAAAGCGAAACTTGGGGAGCAGGCGGGTGACGCGGCGTCGGGGCCTGTGCGCGGCGGGGGGAGCCGGGGGCGGGGAAGGCGCGGAGCGCGGCGGTGCAGGGTCGCGGTCCCCGAAGCCGGGGCGGGGGCGGCGGCGCGGGGGGCTCGGTCTGCGGGCGGGCGGACCGTCTCGGCCGCCCCCACCGACGGCGTGTTGTTTTCGCAGGGAGGAGCCCTTCCTGCGGGTGTAGAAAGCATGGTGCTCACGCTCGGAGAAAGTTGGCCGGTCCTGGTGGGGAAGAGGTTCCTGAGCCTGTCCACCGCCGAAGGCAGCGACGGCCGCCCCGACAGCTGGGACGTGGAGCGCATCGCCGAGTGGCCCTGGCTGGCCGGGACCATCCGAGCCGTGTCCCACATCGACGTGACCAAGAAGGATCTGAAGGTAAAACGGGCTGTGGGGGCTGCGGGCTCAGGCGGTGGGCCGGTTGGCAGTTACCTTGGTAACGCGACAGTCAGCCCCGCCGCCCTCCGCCCCCCTTGCCCTCCGCCCCCCTCGGTAAACTGCGATGGGAAAGTTGACATTGATCAGTGGGCGCAGTAAAAGCTGGACCTTGAAAGTCTCGGAGCTGATTGTGTCGGGCCGACGTGTGTTTGGTCTAGATTCTCTTACTGTTGTGTTGGATGATGAACCTAGGGTTGTGCAGGCGTCCCTAGTTACTGCCTCACCAGGACTGTGATTTCCCCAAAGCCGTGGCCTTAAGTTGGGCAAGTGCTTGATGTGGGCCATCATACTAAGACTTGAGGGCTGATGACTTAAAAGTGCTTTCTGTTGGTTTGTTTGTGCCCCTTATATGGTTCTTTCAACTTTTTAAGCCTACAGACTTGTTAGAAATACAGTGAAGTGTAGGAGGAGCTTAGTTTTGTTTGGCATGGTAAGGTGGGTAATTATCCTTATATGGTGGGTCAAGGCTGGAGAAAGTTCCTGTTTGCAGGAGTGGAGTCCGAGAGTGGGTGTGTGATACGACCATATATGGAAGGACGGGGTGGAGCTGCCCTATATATGGTGTGTTGGAGGAATGGCTTGCAATTCTTGCACTTGAGTGTTTCCAGGGAGGGAAGGGATTGGGAGCAAGTGCAGCAAGTAATTTCCAATCTGAATGACACTCTTAACCTTTTTCAGTTAGATTTTTTTTTCTCCCAAAGAAAGATGTCTTCTGATTGTATTCTCTCAAAGAAGCATGGTTTGAAAGGATTGCCTGGGCACAGCCAACAGTGAGGAAGCCATTGTACCAACAAAGACTCCTTTGTGCAAAAAGAACCCCAAAAAAGTCCCTAACAAAGAGTTGGAAGTGGTGATAACTTGGAGTGAGTTTGTCAGAACAGAAGACATTTCCACCCTGGGCACTAGTATTTTCATGTGATCATCATCATCTTTTCTTTATTTTTTTTTTAAAACTTTGCTCAAGTAAAGGAAGCAAGCTTTTGTATTTGTAGTTAAACATCATGTTCATTTCTGAAACTGTTCATTTGAAGACTCTTAGGGTGACAGTGCATGCGTAAGTCAGTATTTGTCAGCTGCATCTTGTGAGAATGGGGCTGTGTAATTTTACATTGACATGATGTGGAAAACTAGTCTTAATGTATAAATGGAGTTGTAACCATTGATTACTTAGTCATTTTGCTTAGCACTTCACAGCAATGATCATATTTAATATTCCTGGCATTTCTTTGGTGGTATTGGCTGTATTTACAGATGAAAAGGTAGAGACCAGAGACATGAAGACATGTGCCAAAGGTCACATTCATAGCATTAGTGTAGCCTATGTGCTAATATCCCCAGAAGGCTCATTTCCACAAGCCATCATGTTGACTATTCTTCCCCATTGAAGAATGTGCCAAAAGAAGACTAGGTTTGATTTTTCCTTTTAACATACCATTTATTTTTCTATCAGATCACTTTGAATGCTTAGAGAGACTGTGTAATGAATAACCTTTCTACATAAAATGGGCTTTGGTAGATTTTAGTACTAGTTATGGTTTATTTCCCATGTCAAGTAAAATTTTCTCTAATATATCTGTTTTTACCTGATTTGAAAGGAAACAAAATGCAGTTTAAACCTTCCAATCTTTATTTCTTTGGCAGATGATGAGAGACTAGGTGTCCATCTCTCACAATGATTGAAGACCTGTTGAGTTAGGTAATAGGTCCTTCTTTTAGTTGTCAGGTTCTCTCCTTGCCTCCCCACAACCTTTGAGGTGGTAGTGGTGGTGGTTTTAGAATGAGGAACTAAATTTAGGAAGAAGAGTCTTGTTCAGAATTGCATAATTAGCTACTAAGTGACAAGGTGGAATTTGAAGCTAGTTTTGGCTTTTCTATAGCACTATGATTTCTAAGCTGGAGATAATGGAGATTTCCGTTAAAAACAATTTTGACTATTTGATTTTGTTTTACCTGCGCACTTCAACAACACACCCTCATTGTACGGTGCAAGTTTATGAATTTCTTTTTTCTAATTGGAGCCAACTAAACAGCACCTAACAACAGAACGAGAATTGTGATTTATTGCTACATTCACCAGTTGAGTAACACAGTAATTTAAGTTTAAGGCCCATCCATGTTCTGTTAACAGGGAAATAAGATTTTAAGTAGTAGAAGAAAATTGCGCCTGATAAGTTTCAGGAAGAATTAAGTCTCTTAGGTTTTTGGCAATAGAGTGTTTGTTTTGGAAGTTTTGGGGAGGTGAGTTTGAGGGCTGATTTGAATATGAAAAATGAAATGTTAGAGTGTAGTATGCAGCTGTTCTTTTAGTGCAACCCTATAGAGAGGGGGTTGCTTAGTTTTTAGCTACACTCAGAGTTGACTTTGACTATAAGAACCCAAAACTGTTGTAATAACTTAGGGGGTTTTCATTGAGTAAATGCTATGGAATAGAATGTTATTCCTTTGTTTCCAGGCTGTATTTGGCTGAACACACTACTGAAACATGTTCAGACATGATACAACATGCAAGCCTCCACTGACAGAAGACTGATGTCTGCACCTGAGTTGTATTGGGTAGAACCCAAACCTAGGTCTTTGTGGATGGCAAGAATTTTACCACTGAACCACCATGACGTTAATGAGGCGAAAACTACTCTGTTTTACTCAGATTGGGGCTGGGGGTGTGGTTGGGGGAAGGGGGGTGGGAAGTAGTCACTTTGGCTGATAAAAAGGCAATGGGTGTTCAGTAGATAATTTAAAAAGTTAGAAGATACCATAGCAGTAGAGAGTAACCATTAAATTTTTATTGTGTAGCAGGTACTTCATTTAATCTTTACACATATCCTAGAAAGTAGACTACATTTTTTTTTTAGTGTCCGAAATGGACATGTAAATAAGTTCTGTCAGCTTCTGTTGTATAGTTTCTGACTTATAGCAGCCTTGTAGTTGCTGATGGGTTTGGATTGCTGTTTTCTGTGTTGGAAATTGGAAATTTAAACCATCACACTACTAGGGATCCTTACCCCAATTCTCAAGACTGATTGTAGAGGGTTTTGCAGGTCGATCACTAGTTCTTTCTTTCCAGTCTCTCTTAACCTGAAAGCTGTGTTAAAACATCTGCAGCATCACAGCAACACACAAACTTCTCTACTGGCTGCACTTGAGCTGTGTTGGATGGAAATGAACCCTGACCCATCAGTGAGATTTGAGACTTTATGCGGTATCTATGCTCCCACCTTTGTAATGTGGATCATAGGAAGAATGAGACTCCCAAAACACTTAATTGTGTTCATGTGAAACCTATACTTGAATCAAGAATCTGTCCTCTTAACAGTAACAAGGGAACACTGAGGGGTTTAAAATCCAGAAAGGTGAGCGTCAGGGCTATATCTTTTCTCTTATACCTATTTCATCTGTATCCTGAGCAAAATAATTTGAGAAGCTGAACTGTATGAAGAAGAATGTGGAATCAGGATTGGTGGAAGACTCAACAGCCTGCACTGTGTAGATGACACAACCTTGCTTACTAAACGTGAGGAACACTTGAAGCACTCACTGCATAATATCAAAGTCTACAGCTTTCAGGATGGTTTAAATCTCAACATCAAGAAGGCAAAAATCATTATCTTTGGACCAGAAGGCAACATCATGATAGATGGGGGAAAAAATTGAAGTTGTCAACGATTTCATTTTACCTAGATCTACAGTTGACACCAAGGGTAAGAGCAGTCAAGAAGCCAGAAGACGGGTTGCTAAACAACTTGATGTCAAGGATCTCTCCAAAATGCTAAAGAACACTATCTTCAGTTTAAAGATTAAAGTGCGCCTACCTAACCTAAGCCATGATTTTTCAGTTACTTCCTATGCATCTGAAAGTTGGATAGTAACTAGCAATGTGATCAGTGCTTTTGAATTCTGGTGTTAAAGAAGATTACTGAATATCACATGGGCTGCCAAAAGAAAACAAGTCTGTCTTGAAGGAAGTGCAACCAGGGCACTTAATTATAGTGAAGCTGTGTCTCATGTTCTTTGGGCATGTTGTTGGGAGGGACCAGTCTTTGTTAAAAGACATGTTGGAAAGGTGGAAAGTCCGTGAAAGAGAGGGAGACCCTTAACAAGATGGTTTAACATGGTGACTGTGACAGTGAGCTTGAGAATATCAGAGATGGTGAGGGTGGCACAGGACAGGCCAAGGTTCAGATCTTTTGTTCATAGTGTTGCTCTGAGTTATAGTTGTCTTGATGGCACCTAACAATCACATATTCCTACTGCCGAAAATAGTGCTTGACCTATAATGTATGCTACTTGAGTAAATGTAAAAAGGAATCATAAAATTATTACCTCTACATTAAAAATCAAATGCAAGTAAGATTCTGCTGAAGATTATCCCAAACCAAGTGGATCAACACAACATAAACACTGGAATGAAACAACTGCCAGATGTGCTGTTTAGGTTTAGAAGAGGCTGTGGTATTAGGGCTATTATAGCTAATATTAGGTGGATCTTGGGTGAAAGCAGAGCGTACCAGAGGAATGTCTGTGTTTCATTGGCTATGCAAAGGCATTCGACTGTGTGGATCACAACAAACTGTGGCTGACTCTGAGAAGAATGAGAATCCCAGAACATTTGATTCCACTTATGTGAAACCTATACTTGGACCAGGAGGCAGTCATCAGAACAGAGCAAGGAAACACTGCATGGTTCAAAAATGGAAAGGGTGCACACCAGGGATATGTTTTATCTCCATATCTTTTCAGTCTGTTGGCAGAACATCATCTGGGAAATTGGGCTCTCTGAGGAGGAATGTTGCATCAAGATTGGAGGAATACTCATTCAACGACTTGTGTTATGCAGATCACACATTGTTGCTTGCTGAAACTGAGGAGGACCTGAAGCACTTGCTTCAGAAGGTCAAGGACTGTCAGCATTAATAAGGATTGAAGCTCAACATCAAGAAAAA